TCAATGGCCATGTGGACAGTCAACTGTCAATCAGCCATGTGGATGGTCAGCTGTCAATGGTCATGTGGATGGTCAGCTGTCAATGGTCATGTGGACGGCCAGCTGTCAATCAGCGATGTGAATGATCAGCTGTCAATGGCCATGTGGACGGTCAGCTGTCAATGGCCAAGCCGCGTTAGGTCAATCAGCTAGGGTTCTGTTTGGGTTAAGGCTTCACCCTAGCCCCTGGCATCCATATATCCAAAAAGTCTGGAACGTTTGGATGGAAAGTTCCACCCCAAGCCTCCTCCTCTGGGCTCAGTCCAGACTCCACCTCTGAGAAAGACCGGCAAAGATGACCCCTCCTCAGAGATGCTCAAGACCACTCCCACAGCGTATTTAAATTGTACCCCAGAGAACAAACAAGACTGGTTTTTCCAGTCTTCCTTCCCCTGCTTCTCTCTGAGGTCTGGAAGGCCACCTGGGAGCGCTGGCATCCATTAAACCTGGGCCTTTTCTAATTTGGTTTGATTTGGTCTGATTTGGATTATTGCATCGGCAGAGAGGTTTATTGGGCTGCAAAAACTTTTCATCTGGAGGTTCCACCGAGGTGGCTGCTTTCCCCACTGGCCCAGGGCTACATGTTGGGAAAACACCCTTCTTCTTTGCATCTGCTCTCCGCTGGGCTAAGATGGGCTTTGTCTGGGTAAATTCTGAGCTCCAAATCATTGCCTTAGAGGCCCAGGGCCTCATGTGATTCAGCTGTCCTGTTGAGGCCACAGCTGTGCCAAGCACCCGACCTAACCGAACAAGGGCCTGCCTCCACCAACCCTCTGCCTCCTGCCACTCTTCCTCCACCTCTCACAGCAAGCTGCTTCCTGCACCAGCACCCTGTTTTGCTTGTGCTATCTGTGTCTGCTTCTACCAGCTGGCCCCAGCCTGGCAGCCCCCAGCTCAGAGGATCATCCAATTATCCCATTAGCCCAGCATGCCCTTCCTTCCTCTGAGCTGTTGCTCCCCCATCTCCCTCTCCCTTTCCTAGGGCTTCTCATAGCCTCTCTTACTATTTCCTTAGCCATTCCTAAAGCTGAGTCAACCCCCAGTAAGTAAGGGACACACACATCCATCCATCTCTTTCACTGTGCAAGGAAGGACCGTTTCGCTCAAGACCAGAGTCACATGACCAGCTATTGAAAGGAACACGTAGACCTCTTGACACCATGGCTGTGCTTTCTGCTTTCTCACCACAGGCGTGATGTGTCTCACCAAGTGCTCCTTACGGTGCCTTGGATGGAGGAGATACTAACAGGAAGTAGCCCAGAGCCACAGAAGAGGAAGCTGCAGAACTGTGGGAGTTGTAGGCAGCCCTGACAGTGGAAGAAGTAAAGCCACAGGAAAAGCTCTCGTGGACCTAACAATGGAGGGGGTGGCAGCTTCCATATAAGCAACAACCAGCAATTTTTAAATTAAGCCCAAAACCAGTAGGCGGGGAAGAGGCAGACAAACAATGTGCCCCAGTTAGCTCACTGCCGACTGGCAGCCAGAAAAGGGGGTGTCCACACCAGCCACAGTAGGCTTTTCTGCAAAAAAAGGGGGGGGCTTGTGTATGCCCATCACAGTTATTTGTCCCTTTGGCACCAGTCACAACAGTCCAGGGGAAATGAGTGTCTTCTAGTCCGGGTGGAAAAGGCTTGGAGGACGTCTCTAGAGTTCGCTGGGACTTGAGATGGCAAAAGGTACAGTAAGGATGGAAGCAGTGGAGGCCGGGGCTTTACCTTCAGGGGTAGAGTTGTGCTCTAGCAGTAAGCAGTTGCAACCGCTTTATAGTTTCATCAGATCTTTTGTGTTGGTATACAGGGACAACATCTGGTCGGCTGATTGGACCATTGCTCAAGGTAGCCAGGACACCGGGGAAATACAGCTGTCAAATGGGGAATCCAACGCCCCCCCCCCTTCAATATTTTTGCTCATTTAAAGGACAAATCAATTCCAGGAGGCACGCTTAAAGGACCCCTCCCTAATTGATTTGAACGGTGCACAGCAGCGCTTTATAAAAACAGGACTAGCGTCTTTTGGTTTCTGGAGTGTGAGATGCTGCTGCGGGGTAGCTCAGGGGCAGGGCCCTTGTCTCTCATCTCTGAGGCTGCTTTCACTTTTGCCAGTGGCTTCTTTTGTTTTGTTTCTTACGAGGTGTTTTAGGTGAAGATGTTGCTTACCCAGAATGTAGAATGCCCCTAGTTCACAAAGACTTCTTGTGGTATACCGTCTACTTTGGGGGATGCCGTTTCGTTGTTCATACGGTATAATCTGTACAAATAATTTGCCAACCTAACTCCACCACAGATGCCCACAATTAAACGCCGGAGCGTTACCTCAGTGGCACAGCGTGTTTTACAGAAATGGGACCGTGGGTCTGGTTCCCCAGCATTGAGACAAAGGAATCTGTAGTCTGAGAGAGAAGCTGCTTGCCAGACAAAGCCTCAGCGCCTGTGATGTGAGGTGGGAAACAGGGCCAAAAGGCTTCATCCAAGATGGTGCAGGCACCTGCAGGGCTATAGGTGGCGGACATTGAAGCAATGCAGTTCTTGCCTAAGTCTCTGTCTGGTGACATCCGCAATGGTGACATAAAATCTCCTTCCCCGGGACTGGAGAGATGGCTCAGAGGTTAAGAGCACTAGCTGCTTTTCCAAGGTTCCAAGTTCAATTCCCAGCAACTACATGGTGGCTCACAACCATCTATAATGAGATCCGATGCCAACACTATATACATAATAAATAAATAAGCAAAATTAAAAAAACTTCCATCCCCAGACTCAGTCAACAAACGTTTACTGAGCATCTCCATGTTTGAAGCATGAGCCCAGCCCCGAAGCCCCCACCTCTGCAGGGTCAGCGTCCCTGAAGACAGGGCTGATTGTTCTTTCCCAGACAATGACAGGAGTGGATAATCAAATAAGACGTTGTGTCTCAACTCAGCATTTCTGTATGGGGATGCTTAGACACCTCTTCCAGAAACCACATGCACGCTGGGGGCTGAAGGGCCATACCAGAACGTTCACCACATCTACAGGGATAATTGAACACACACTGAGGTCCGAGGGCCGCTGTCCCTGCAGTGCAGAAGGGTTAAGGACACTGCAAACATGGTCAGGAAGTTCCACTGGACATTGTCATCCGAGGTGCTGCCTAGGGACACCTATCCCCAGCATGGGGTTGTTCACGCAAGTTAGCTACTGGGCAACGAGACTGCCTTCTCTGATAAGGAACAGGAAGGGTGGAACTACAAAATGCTGCCTCCCACCCCTGACACTCTGGTCAACTACAGATTGAGGTTCGGCCCTCGACCTCTGAGCTGTGCCTTCTGCACCTGAGGTTGGTAGAAGGGGCACAGCCCACACAGGCACTGCACTGGCGGTGGCCAGGGGCCTTCATGGACCATCTAGTCTCTCTCACCACCATGCTAAGACACAAAGCAGGACGGTCACATGGCTCCATTATACACATACCTAGGCAGAGAACTGAGAGACCTAATCGTAAGTCAGGGTCAAAACTGAAGCGGGACCCACGAGAAAATGGACAGAAATAAAAGACAGCAAGAGACTTAGTAGAAGGAATTGTCTGTCGTGATGCTGGGGCTGGTTAGGCAAACTGAGACCCACAGGGAAGGCCATCAGGAAGGGCAAGCTGGGACTCTCGGGCACACATATATCTGCCCCACATATATCTGTTTGTGGTAACTTCCATCATGCTATGGGCAATGTCTTCTGTTTTTGCCATAGGAAAGAGAGTCATTAATGTCCTTAAACCAAATCAAATGGATAGAATTCTAGAAATCTAAACATAAGGCAAAGAAAACCAACCTACAAATCCCAATTCCAGAGAACCTAGACAACAATGAGGACCCTAAGAGACACATACATGGATCTAATCTACATGAGAAGTAGAAAAAGACAAGGTCTCCTGAGTAAATTGGGAGCATGGGGACCATGGGAGAGGGTTGAAGGGGAGGGGAGAGGCAGGGAGGGGAGCAGAGAAAAATGTAGAGCTCAATAAAAATCAATAAAATTTAAAAAAAATTCCAGAAGCCCAGAACCAAAGAGGAAAGCTCATCCTTAAGATTCTGTTCTTTGGCATCAAAGTCTGTAGCAGTTAGACCCAGCCAGAGGCAGAACTCATAGCGTAGATATTAGGAGACGTTATGAGGACGTGAAGGGAGCAATGGTGGAGCTGGCCGGGTAAGTCTAATAGCTCCACAGAGGGCTGTCAGGGAGGCAGCGTGAACCTCTCTCCGAGGGCTGGAACTGCCGTCTACAGACAGTTCCTTCCTCCCCACAGAAGGCTCAAGGATGCTCTCTCTTTACCACTGTAAACAGACCGAGTGTTTTTACCTTGGTTTTATGGCGTGATCTCACTCAGTCAACAGACTATAAACTTTAATTGCATTTGGAAGATACCTTGACACACTGCCGGACATGGTGGCACATCCCCGTAGTCCTAGCAACTCAGAAGGCTATGACAGGATGACGGTTTGAACCTTAGAGTTCAAGACCAGCCAGGGAAACACAATGGGACCATGCTTCAGGCGGGTTGTGCCGGCCTGAAGAGCTGTCTGTAGCTAGTTAACTCAGCTCTTCCTGAGGACGGCGCCCCCTGTTCAGTCATGCTGTGCGCTCTCTGACTCTCACCTGCCTTGACCCTCTTCCCACTAGTGCACACTTTCCCAAACTGACTCTCAAGGAGCTGAGGGAACCTTGAGACTGTACCAGGATGGAGGAGAGGAGAACGCGCAGGAGAACGCGGAATCAGAACTCAACCTGAGGTCTGCCTGGTCCGTGTGGCATCTCATAGACACAGATGGAGAGTGAGGTGGGAAGCTGGGGAGACTATCAAAGCCGCTCACTCCCAAGCATACCCCCCTCCCAACCTCCTCTGAGCCTGCTCCTTTCAAAGGGCTGGATATGCGCCCCCAGCACCTGAGAATTTCTTAGCTTGAGGTAGAATTCGCACACGCAAAACGAAACTCTTTCGGAGTGTGCAATCCAGTTGCATTTAATAGATGTTCATTGTTGTTGAATCATCTTTTGAATCCCAAAACATTTCCAAGTCCCCAGAAGAAAATCACGTGTTCATTATTAGCAGTTGTTCCCCATGTGCTTGCTCATTCTATCCTCCTCCTGCCTGGATATTGAGCCCCACCCCCCACCCCCCCAATTCCCGCACACATTTTAAAATTTAGCCACTTAACCCGAGCTAGGGGGTATAACCAGGTCTTCCTTCACAATGTTGGGTCGGTAGTTGGGTTTAACAGCTTCAGCAAGTTCCCGGGCATACATCTCAAGTCGCCCTGTCATCTGAAAACAAAGGATACAGGCTGGGGAGGATTTAAAAATCTATTCCTTTTTTTTTTTTTTGCCACCATCTCTGGCCACTAGGGGGCAGCCCCGGGGCAGAAACTATATTCATCCTGCTGATCGACAGGGTTATTTCAGACAGTAATAAAGACAATAATTGCCTTATGACCTCAGCATGGATGCCAGTGAAATTCAAGGATGCGAGATGACTCACACAGCCCAGCCCAGTTGACTGGAGGTGTGGTCAGGCCTGAGGCAGGATGGAGGAGAGGGGGCATGAGCTCACACCCGCCACCCCTGGGAAGGCTTGTGTCTCCAGAAAGGGTCTAAAGAGAAACCACTCTGCTTGCTGCTCCCAGAGATACTTTGTAAAAGAACTGGCCAAATACGTGAGTTCTGATTGAACTTCTGATTGAAATGGAATCCTGCATTCTCCTCAGCTGCCCAAGAAGAGGAAGGGAGGTCAGAACTTCTCATGGGCAGTACCTTGTCTGTCCAATGAGAATCCGAGTCTCTGGAATACGACCAAGGACTCACACTCAGGTCAAGTTGGGGAACAGAGTCCAGAGTCCGCATCTGGGCTCCTCCAGTCACACTAGGCAAAGCCATTCAGTCACACAGAGGGGGACATGAATTTTCTCTGTGAACTGCTGGAGGCCAGTGTAACAAACCTTGCAGTCAGGAGCCCTTCGAGGGGTCCTGGCCTTGGCCACCACTGTCTCATCCCAGCGGGGCAGGCACTGCACTCCCAGACTGCTGACCATAGGCAGCATTGGAGAGTGTCCCTAGGCCAAGGGAACCGAGTAAGGAGGAGTCAGAGCCAGGCAGAGACCCTGTGACCCGGTTCCCACTATTGTCTCAGTGCCTAGACTGGAGCCTGGTCGCAGGCAGAACGAGACAGAAGCATTTATCTCGTGACGAGCGCAAATGCCTGGAAAGGAAAAAGGATTACAGGAGCCAACCACTGTTTTCTCTAGACATGAAATTGAGATTAATCTGTGTGAGGGCGCCTAGAGTCTAAATCAAATGAAAGGGGAATTTATTGATAGCCCCTGCTCGGGCATCATCCCACCCAGGGATCCTCCCCAGCCAGCAGAGAGACTCCATCCCATCCCCTGCCTCACTGTCAGCCTCCCTCATCCTCCATGGTATAAACCACTCTAAGTCCCCTTTAGTATAATACAGATTCCTTCTATCAGTTCTAGTCCCCTAGAGGATCCCAGAATCTGTGACAATCTAATGCTGCCTCGTGGGGGGGGGGCATCATCAGTACAGTTGGGGTGAGAGGGAAGAAAGAAGAAAGATGGGCATCAAGATGGCCGCCCATGAAGGCTCTGCACCCTCCCAGGCATTGTCTCCCAACTACACACAAGGGAGCAGAGATGAGTCAGTGCCCCCTTCCTAGGTACCCAACGGGCAGGCACAGGCTGTGGAGCAGACTCCGCCCAGAGGGAGTTGGTGAAGCAGGGGAGATGAGGCCCAGCCACTGGAAAGTTCATGAACAAACCTTTGGTTCCCTCCCCAGAAGTGAACTTCACTGTGGTAGTGGTTCCTGTGAATTAAGTGCAAGGCTAAAATGAACCTCTAGGTGGCAGCACCAGGACAGTCATTCCAGATCGCCCAGCCAGCCCAAGAGAAGGATGCCAATGGCAGTGGAGGTGTTGGCAATGAATGCCTGGGTTCCTATCCTGGACTGGCCACAGTGGCTCCTTGTTAAGAGAGGCTCATGAGGAAACAAATATAGACTTCCCAGCTAGACTGACTGAAAGCTCAGCCCAGCCACTACCCTCAGACTGGTGGCCATACCTCAAACCTGCAAGCAGGGTTGCGCATAGTGACCCACGCTTTTAATCCCAGGACTTGGGTGACTGAGATAGCAGGACTCCAGGTGTGAGGCTGGCCCGGGCTGTATATCAAGTTTCAGGCTATCCTGGGCTATATAGTGGAACTCTGTCTTAAAACCTACAAACATATCTGTTTGTCCTTGCTTACATAATGGCATCTTTCTGGGTAGGTCATCTCCTTGCGGAGTCCACACAAACCATGGTCTCCATTGAGAGTCAGACAGCCTTGGAATGGCCTTCCTCTTAAACTGGGGTTTAAGGCTGTGGAGACCTTGACATGCTGTGCGGGTACCAACAGTACCCTGTCACCCAGGACTTCCCCGGCTCAGGGCTGCTTCCATTTCCCACAGAGACGGGTCTGCACAGCCATTTAGTCTGTTTTGTGCCCTTTAAGGGAGGTTTTTAGAGAAGAAAACCCTGGTTTAAGAGGAAGGCCATTCCAAGTGGCATGTGGAGATGGCAAAGTTCCTCCTCCCACCCCCTACTCTCCCACCCCCCACCCCCGTGGCTGAGTGAGTCTCAGAGGAATGGCAAAGCCTTCCAGTCCTTGTGTGTGACAGTGACAGTGAGCATAGAAAAATGTGTCCATCACAGCTTTTTCTCTCCGGATGTATGTGGCCTGAAGAGTATTGTGAAACCCGCCTCCTTGATTCAGCTGTATACAGTAATAGCCCAGCCTCCTTGTGTCTTAGTACATGGTAGCCTCACCTCCTTTCCTTGTTTATTTATATACAGTAACCACACCTCCTTGTTTATTTATATGTGGTAGCCCCACCTCCTTGTTTGTTTATATGCAATAGCCCCACTTTCTTGTTTATTTATACACACTAGCCCCGCCTCCTTGTTTATTTGTACACAGTAACCGTGCCTCCGTTTGACCGTTTGTAATAAATGCCCTGAGCTTCTGGGGTGCTGCAGCCTCTCCACCCCAGAGCCCACTCCGCTCAGTCCCAGCTTTCCTGGGTGTCTGTTTCTCTTTCTTTTATTCCCTCACATCCTCAGTTCAGTCCATCCATGGAGTCATGCCAGGCACAGTGAATCTCCACATGCTAGCCTTCATCCCTCCTGAGAAATAATTGTTACTGGAGCTTTACATGGCCTGTGAGGACTGAGCACGGGTCTGCTCTGGTCTGGCCTAACACTCCAACCCCACGGTGTTTGCATAATGTCTCCAAAAGGAAATTTCAGGCGGTACCTGGTTAACCAGCTGAAGGACCTTGGGCAGTGACATTGAGAGCCAGCATTCTGATTCCCTTACTGGCCACTCCACGGGCACAGTTGATCTATGGGTCTTTCCAACAGCCACCGAAGAGAGCAGTGGAAGACCTTACCTCAAGCAAAGATCCTTTCTTTCGCGGTGCCAACTTGGGTGCACCGTGGGATTGGTGACACCAACCCATAGAAGCAAGGGGAGAAGGTTCACTTAACTCTGACATTTCTGCGACTTCCAGCCTTTCTGTTATGAATGCCACAGCGAACACCTCACACACAACTTGGTACTCTTTGATATCACTTCCTCAGGTCACGGTTGTAGGAACACTGTTACCTTGTTAAAGGACATGTGTCCCATGAAGTATATTGTCGTCCCCCCCCCCAGAGACCAGTATAGCTTTCCCAGACACTCTTACCACACCCTTGGAAGCTGGGGATAGGGCAATTCTTAGCCAACAGATGATGTGTTGTGGTCTACCCAGCATGGGCAACCAGAGATCACCTTGCCATTGGATAGTTGCTTGTGTTCAAATCACCATTAACACCCTGCGTTGAAGCAGATTTTTGCTCTTTATTCACTAGTACCCCCGGGACCTGGAGCTGACCTCCAGCTACTGGGGTCAGAGAGTAGGGAGTTGTTGCATTCTGAGGTTGTTAGGGTCCGCCTTGTGAAGCCGGAATGTGGAGGGATGCCTCTCTCAAGAAATTAACAACTTGGGGGCTGGAGAGATGGTTCAGTGGTTAAGGGCATTGGCTGCTCTTCCAGAGGTCCTGAGTTCAATTCCCAGCAACCGCATGGTGGCTCACAACCATCTGTAATGAGATCTGGCGCCCTCCTCTGGCGTGTGGGCATATATGGAGGCAGAATATTGTATACATAATAAATAAATAAATCTTTTTTTTTAAAAAAAAAAGGCTGGAGNATGGTTGTGAGCCACCATGTGGTTGCTGGGAATTGAACTCAGGACCTTTGGAAGAGCAGGCAATGCCCTTAACCTCTGAGCCATCTCTCCAGCCCGGGGCTCCATGTTTTAAAATCGCCACGTTGCATTATCTTCATCATGGCCCATCTTAACGACACTGACCCAGAGAAGAAACAGCTTGAAATTTCCTTAACCCTGGCCTTTCCGTGGCTGCCAGCTGCTCTGTTGTGAACACCGTCACCACCACTATCACTCACGTCTCACGCCTCCCTTTTCTCTTTTTGACATCACTTCCGCGGACCACAATTCTACAAGAACAACTGGGAAAGAGCACGAACTCACGCCGTGAAGTTTTACCCCATGAAGCATCAGCCTGCTCTTCCAGAGACCGGCTTTTCTAGCTCCTCACACCCTCGAAAGCTGAAGGCTGGGCAAATCTCAGCCAAGGAAGGAGAAACCAATCATTTTTCAACTAGGCTGCTGTGGACCTAAGGAATTATGTGCCTATTACCTTGGTTTACTTCTGGAGCTAAGAAAGGTTCAAGAGAACAGATTGGGGAGGGCCTTTGCATACATAACATGAGGTAGCTCTCTAGGTTCACCCAGAAGCTTGTGCACACCCATGTGCCCAGGAAGTAGACTTCAGGTTCCTCTAGGGAAACCTGAGAGGGAGATGGAGTTCCCCAGATGTATTTAAAAATTTTTGTTACATTTTATTTCCTTATTTTGTATGTGCATATTTGGAGCTGAGGGGACAACTTGTGGCAGTTGATACTCTCCTCCCACCATGTGGGGGCCTGGGGACTGAACTCAGGTCCTCTGTCTTGGTGGCAGACGCCTTTACCCTTGAAGCCATTTTCCCAGTCACTTTCCAGAAGTCTTATACACAGCTGGTGAAGGGGGGGATACTCCACGAGGTGGTCCCAAGGTTCCACTAAGACCTAGTGGACGGACGACTAATGACCATCTTGCCTTTCAACTGACAATGGACAGTTAGCTGCATTCAAAGCGCCAGGAGACATATTTCCCAAGTGGAAAACCCGAGGGGAGACCCAAAGTACGGCCTTCACCCTTTGGCTCCAATGTACCCTTCCTAGACTCAGCCCACACCTCCATCTGCACCTAACGTAAGCAATTGGATAGCTGAGTTCTAGGTCTGTTGGGGGCCTGCTGGGAAAATTCTGAACGTGGAGGGATGTTCTTCAAAACATGAGCACCATGCTTTCAAAGCGAAAGTAAATTCAATGTTGCCTCTGACATTTAGAAGACATTGAATACAAATCCATTGAGAATGTAGAGCTTTTCCCATGACCCCAACCCTAGTGGGACAGAACACAGACATCGTAGCCAGAGAATTAAAGCCAGCACTTCCTGCTGTACCCATCCATCATGCTCTGGAGGAAGGCAGTTCCAGGTTGGAATGTTTGTACATAAATTCCTAGGGTTCTTTTAACTTGCGACGATACTTCAGAATCGCCTGGGAGATACACTTCTGGGGACATATATGAGGATATTTCCAGAGAGACTTAACTGAGCAGCGTTGCACCCTTAACCAAACTTGAGCAGTACTATGCCATGGGCAGTACCATGCCATGGGCTAAAGTCCTAGAATGAATTGAAAGGAGGGAGGAAGAAGGTGGCTGAGCAGAAGCTTCTCTACCTCCTCCCTGTAGACGCACAGCTCACCCTCCTACCGTTGTGCCTTCCCCGCCACGGGCTAAACCATGGAACCATACACTTTCCAAATAAACCCTTTCTTTATTTACTTCTTGTCTGACTTTAGGTCCCAGTAACAAGAAAAGTAACTATTCAGGTCATTGATATTGAAAGTGGGGCCTTTGCTTTGAGAAACCTGGCTATGTGGTTCACAGGCCTTTTGAGGGAATGCTGAAGTTTGGACCAGAGATGCTGGAGAATAGGCTAAAGAGAGTTAATGGGCCATTTCGGTCAGAATTGAAAAGGCCTGAATGCTAATATAAGTTCAGATGGCTAAGACTCTTCATAAAGTTCCTCTTAGGGGAGCATAGAGAGTCTATCAGGAAGTAGGGTAGACACCATTCGTTTTGGATTCTGGCAAAGAATGAGGCTCTATTTATGCCAATATACTCTCACTGGAATCTTGGACATAGCCAAATTCAAAACACATTTGTCTGGCCAAGGTAATTTCAAGATAGCATAGCATTCAGGCTTTGGCGTGGTTACTCCTCTCTGCTCTCATCCACATTTACAGTGAGAGAAAAGAGACTGCTTGAGGAAAGGAGGAAGACACAGGTGTCTTGAGGGTGGAATCCAGCTTGGAAAAAAAATCAAATTTATTTGAAAAGAAAGATACTGAATTGATACAGATTCCTTGCAATGGGGCTTTTAAAGGCCAATGAATGAAGCTATGAAACCTAAGTTGCTATGGAGACCCCAGGACACTGGAGATGTGGGGACTGTGAGCCGTCAATGGAAGAGATCTGCAGGCATGGGAAGGAGCTGGCCCAAGAGAGAGCTACATGGTCTGCCTGAGGCAGAACTAAAAGGGCGGGCTTACTCAAGATTGTAGGAGCCCAGGCGATGCCATCAAGAGCCTCAGATTCCAGACATGGTGTTTTAAGACTTGGTGGTTATTTCCGCTGGGCATCAGTCTTGCCTGGTCTGGCTTTTCCTTGTTAGGCTCCCTTTTAAAATCGGAATGTTTGCTCTGTGATATTATATATTGGGATTGGGATCCTCTCCCCCACCCCACAGAGATTCACAGATATCTTTGAGTCTCAAAAGAGACTCTGGATTTTTGAGCAATGTTGGAACCGTTGAGACAACAAGGAACCACAGTATGAGATAGGCCTAGGGCCCAAGGACCAGCAGTGCAAAGTTGTGAGTTAAAAGTCATGTATTTGAGTGTGAAGTACAGCAAACGGACTTATGATGGCTAATCTGCATTGTCAACTTGGCAGCCACAGCCTCTGGCGAGCCTATGAGAGCAGCTCCACAGATATTTGAGAGGAAAAAACGACCCACCCTAAACCTGTAGCCTTGCAAGCATCCAACCATGAGCTGGGCTCCTAGACTAAGTAAAAAGTAGGAAATGAGAAAACCTGCCGCCCACTGATGTCCCTTTGCTTTCTGACTGAGATGACCAACCGGCCACCTCAAGCTCCTCCTCCCTTCCCCGTCATAATGTCCTAAACCTTCAAGCCGCGAGCCAAAATAAACCCTCCTCTCTTTGAGTCTTGTGAGCCGTTCATTCATGGCCATGACAAATAGACATGTAACCCTCCCAATGCTTAGCTTAAGTGGAAGGGAGACAAGGCACAATCTCAGCCACGTGGGCGATCTCAGCCAACTCCCTGCCTTGCACTCCTGCTCATGCGCATGAGCTCACCTGCTCCAGCCCTCAGCAAAGCAGTCTGACCTCTATTAGAGATGAAGCTGGGGCTCAAATACTTGCTGTTACATACTACTAAAGGGAACCTCTCCACTGGTTAAATCAAGTCTCCTGGATTATCCTGTGCCTCTGGGCAGTGTTACTCCCTCTGGGCCACTACTCTGGAGGACTGCCCTTCCTTCCGGGCCTGGCAGAGTCAGGGCTCAGGATTCTGAAGACCCTTGTCCGGAGGTCATGCTGGCCAGGCACCCAGTGTGCTCCACTTAGGAGTCAGGCTTTGAGATTCCAGACCATCATGCAGGAGGGTGGTTGTATTGTCTTTGTCCCAATGTTCAGAATCCCAGCAAAACTTGCTGCCAATGGTAGAATGGCTCTTTGGGGAGATCAGATTATGCAATGGTCACGTTGAGCACCCCCCCCCTACTGAAAAACTGGTTCAATGTGCAACAGCCAATCAATCGCAGGGCGGCTCAGGGCGGCGAGCTAGACAGCCTGCTCACTATATTTTAGGAAAGCCATGTCTGAATCCCACAGGTTGACCCTGGCCAGGCCTGAGGTGGTGAATGAGGTCCAGAAAGCGCCCCCCCCATCTCTGCCCCCAGTGACCTGAGTTCTCCAATGGTGGCTGAGGGGTTGAAGATGATCTCTGCTCCATTGATGCTGTACATGAGCCAGTTGAGGGGATGGTGCCGCCCGTAGCAAATGTTCACGGCAATCCTGCCAAACTGGGTCTGGAACACGGGGTGGCCCAGGTTTCCCTCCATGTAGTAAGTGGACTGAAAAGAACAAAGAGCTCTACGTTGGTGCCTCAGAGTGGAAACAGCTCTGCTTTCCTCAGCCTCGGCAGAAGTGAGTATCACCAGTCTAAAATTAACATTGGGGTGTTGATGTTCCAGAACTGCAGTGTTAACACACACACAAAACCCAGACACAATAACAAAGCAACCCCAAGGGGGAGAACACAATGGCCTAGTATTTAACCCACGATTTGCTTTGTGGTAGATCACATGACTTCCTGAAGAACCTATGGGACGTTTTTAATCACCATACAAGAAAAGGTTGTGGTCAGGTCAATGTTAACGTGAATGACCGACCTCAGCTCCTTACACAGAATGCTAGAGGTGAAAAGACCCAGCCAGGGCAACTCTTCCTGTTTGGAAACTGTATGTCACTTGAATTGGTTTGGGACTTTCCCCACTGACTAAGACTAAACCCGAGAGTAAAACACACCCTCCACACAGCAGCCTGGTATCCTGCCGAGGGTTCCCTGTAGGACAAGCAAATGGGAACCTTATTCTCCCTCCTCCTCTTCTCTGCCTGACCCCTGAGGCTGCCACTTCCAGGACTTGATGGAGATCTAGTTGAAGGGATGCTAGAGAGCACGCTGGGTTCCAAACAGATCAGCTCCTGGAGCTTTAGGCTTTCTCTCATTAATTTCAAAACTGGCCAGGTTAGATAGCAACCAGGATATGGACCCTAAACAGATCCTGCTCTAGTCAGGCCAGGGGTGTCTGCAGGGAGCTAATGATTAACCACGGGGTAAACAAGCAAGGAGTGTGTCTGTCCCACCCCACCTCCAGCTGCTTCTTAGAAACACCGGCTCTTCTGTCTCGCCATAGCCCTGAAGATGGCTTCTCACCTTGCTGGCCAGCCCAGCCTGAGAGCAGTGTGAATCCTCAATCCAAGGATGCAGTGTGGGTGCTAAGGATGGGGGTGGCACACCCCAAACTATTGGTTCTCTTGAAAAGTCATGTTCAAATTCGGATTTAGTATTCTGGCATTATATAGAGTCCATTTTCTTCTGCCTAATGCCTTCGGCCACCATCCCACTACTTGTGAGTTGATATTTAACAATCAAAACAGTCCCTCTCTGAGAATTCTTCACACCAGTGAGCCAAAGGCGTGCTGTGTAACCACTGCTGTGCACAGACATTCAAAGACACCTGAACATGTGCTAACTGAGATACCATGTAAGTCACGAAGAACAGCATCCACCGAAACTAGGATTATATCACGGTTGCCTAGGAGCTCAGAGCCCCTTTCCTAGGGCTCACAGGAATAATCTCATATTTGTGCTCTCTTTACTCGCATTTTAGCTTCTGAACCAATTCCCTCAAGGGAATATTGCAGAAACTCAGATCAAGTCCCTCCACATGTATATGACATATGTATAAATCCCATGCTACTGAAAGTTTTTGGGGCTCTAAGCACCTCATGCCCATGTGATGCAGGGCAATGCTATCAGACTCTCTGGACCCTACAACGGCATTGCCCTGCAGCGTCGCGTGCCACAGCATCTGGCACAGGATTCCTGCCCGAGAAAGGCCCGAGGAGCTCTGATTGGCACTCACCTCATTGAAGTCGCCCACTCTGGGGATGTGGTTCTTCCTGGTCTTTCCCATGACCGCTCCTGAGTTGGAGATCACCACAGCTGTGTTCCACAGAACTCCCCCGTGATCGCGATCTCGTTCCAAAATCGGAGACACCACCACCATATTGTGCTTCTTTGCCAGCTGGGGGAATTGAAAACCATGAAGTTCCTCTTTCAGGTGAATTATTACTTCTTTTTTTAAAACTGGAGAGGAATTTAGCGATGTTCCTAAATAGTTAGACTTGGTTTTTGGCTACTACTTAAAGCAGTGTTTTTAAAAAAGTACTAAATGTCAGCGTTGTCTTGATACCTAGAGCTGGTTATTAAGAATAATCAATAACAAGGCTGGAGAGATGGCTCAGTGGTTAAGAGCACTGCCTGCTCTTCCAAAGGTCCTGAGTTCAATTCCCGGCAACCACATGGTGGCTCACAACCATCTGTAATGGGATCTGGTGCCCTCTTCTGGCCTGCAGACATACAGACAGAATATTGAATAAATATTGAATAATAATGAATAAATAAATAAATATTTTTTAAAAAAGAATAATCAATAACAAGATATGGTGGCACATACTTTTAACTCTAGCATTCATGAGGCCAGCCTGCTCTACACAGTGAGTTCTAGGCCAGCCAGGACTACACAGTGAGACCGTGTGTGTGTGTGTGTGTGTGTGTGTGTGTGTGTGAATTTGAACAATCATCCTTGTGCAAAGCTGGGATGAGACTATAAAGTGATTTAGGCACTCTAGGAAATTAGTGGAAGTTCCTTAATATTAAACAGAGAATCGTGACACAGTACCATTCATGCATATACTGAGAAGGCAGGCACTCAGTGAGACAGGTCTACAAACTGATGAGCCCATATTCAGAGACGCACTACTGGTTATCATTAACAGCCAAGAGGTGGAAGCAGTTTTACTCTCTGCCATCAGATGGAGGGCTGAGCAAAATGTAGTGTCTGAAGACAATGAGATTTTTTATCTACTCATATAACCCAAGGAATTCCTATCATATGCTAGAAGACCAAATGGACCTTGAGAGCACTATGCTAAATGACATCATCCTATGAAAATGCAATATATGATTTTTTTTTTTTACCTATAAAGGAACCCTAGAGTAATGAAATTCACAGACATAGAAAGTAAAAGGTGCTTCTCAGGGGCTGGCGGGGAGAGACACCAGGAGACTCTCTAATGATACAGTGCTTTAGATTCCTGGCACTGGAGTCAGATGGTCTATGGCACAGCAGTGGGGACACATAGGCAAAAGCATGGTGGGTAGCAAGTTTTACATTCTTCATACAATGAGTTGGATTCTTGAGTTACCCTAACCAAGGAGAGGGCACAAAGGCCAGAAGAGGCCATGTTGGGGGATGTGGTGGTTTGAATAGGTTGGCCTCTGTAGACTCTTGGGTTTGAATGCTTTGGCTATAGAGAGTGGCACTGTCAGGAGGTGTGGCCTTGATGGAGGAAGTGTGTCATTAGGGGGGTGGGCTTTGAAGTCTTATATGCTCAAGCTATGCCCGGTGTGGAACTCAGTTCTCCTACTGTTGCCTGTGGATCTGTATCTAGAACTCTCAGCTACTTCTCCAGTACCATGTCTGCCTGCCTGCTGCCTTGCTTCTTGCCTTGATAATGGCTTAAACCTCTGAAACTGTAAACCAGCCCCAATGACATGTATTCCTTTATAAGTGTTGCCATGGTTATGGTGACTCTTCATAGCAATAGAAACCCAGACTAAGACAGGGCGTGTACTGTGGAATGGGAGGGGAAGCTTTGGATCAAGATACATTGTATACATGTATTAAACTGTCAAAGAATAAATGGAAGATATTTAAAGATAAATAAAATGGAGTCAGGTATGATGGTAGCTAACACCTGTAATCCTAGAACTTGGCAGGCTGGGGTGAAGAGAATTATGAGTTTATGACTAGGTTGGGTAACATAGTGAGCTCCAGGCTACTAAGCCTAGAGGAAGACCCTGTCTCCCAAAGATTTGTGATGAATTATCATTATTCTTCTTATCTACACCAAGATATCTTGCCATTGAGTCTGTTTTGTGCTCTGATACCAAGAGTAGAAAGCAGGGGACTCATAGAGAACAGAGATTTGTCCTTGGCGTTCTGGACCCAAGGAAGTCAGTCCAACAGCAGCAGTCAGCAGCTGCTGGGCCTCTGTGTGGAATCATCCGAGGGTGGGGGCAAGAGAGGAGGAAGAGGCTGAACTTGCTTTTGTTAAAAGAAAAACACTCTGGCGCTAAAGAAAAACACTCACGGGAGCTTAATCCTCACGACCTGACCACCATTAACATATGCCTCCTGACAACACTCATCTTACATATTTCTACCCCAGCAACTTCAGGGAACACATTCAAGCCACAGCAGGCACTAAATTCTTTCTGTCTCCAATACGGACATCAGGACCTGTTGACTGAGCAGCTTCAGATGGTCGCTTGTTCTCCGCACCACCTAAGCCACCATTACCTGTGACCTCAGTGAAGGACGTTGGTCCTTCTTGAGTCTTCCTGGCAGCAGCTCTAACCACACTCTCCCTCAAGCCCTCATCTAGGCTTACTGATGGAAACAGTCCTCACCCGGGCCCCTTTCTTTTACCACAACAATGAATCAATAGCTCGATGAGAGGCTTTCCCCCTAGCTTGAGAGAACGGATGTTTAGAATCACCATTTTGTCCTGATAAAAATCAGCGCGGCTACGGCAGGGCTCTGCCCCAGACTCTCGGGCAAAGTCTGAATGAAAAGAGAAACAAAAGTGTTGCTCTTAGAGCCAAAACAAGGACTCATCGCCAGTAATCCCTTGGCTACATGGGCTTTTCTGATAATGGCTTTACTAACATATAATTCACACGGCACAGAATCATTCTTTCAAGGTGTATAAATCACTGGTGTTTAGCATATTTCCAGAGTTGTGCAACTATTCCAACAGGCTGAATTTGGCACATTCTGATAGCCCCTCATGGAATCCCTGCACCCTACAGCAGTCACCCCCCTTCTTTCCTCATCCTCATACCCTGCTTTTCCCCCTCCTGTCTCCAGAGATTTGACTATTGCGGGCAGTTTGGATAATTGGGATCAGACCACGCGCGTCACAGGGTTTTCATCAGGAAAACTGAAAACCAGTTCCTACACCATGAGACAGACCGTGTATTGACACTTTCGCCGAGTTACACAAACAGCAAGCGGGGCGGGCAAAGGTCTAGAGGAGATAAATGTCACTTAGCCCTGCGTGCTAGCGTTGCCGTTTGCCAGATTTTCCATGAAGTCACTCCAAACCATCCCTCCCCGGGCTGCAGCTCTGCCCACAAATAAAGCCGAGGAGAGCTCTTGTAGCTCTGAAACCAGGAACTTGAGCGAAAGGAGACCCCGCAACAAGGAAAGTATCAAAGTCCCAGCTAATCTCATCTGGCCAAACAAGCACAGCTGTATTTTCCACAGTGAAAGGGCACATCTGACAGCTGCAGTTGTGCTCACAACCTGCGTGGGTTTGCCCGCCAACCCCCCCCCCCACTCCGAGGAGCACAGTTCATGTGTCACCTTCTGACAGAACCTGGTGGTGAGCCCATCCTCTGCCGACTCAGCAAATTCTGTCCATGGCAGTTTCTCGCGGGTACAAAAAGCAAAGGGCATATCTAGGAGAAAGAGAAAGGTTAGCAATGAATCCTATGGTGCCCTAGTGAGTGTCCTCAGCCCAGAGCATGTCAACACTGGGGTCTTTCTTTTCCTGGGGACAGGGAGATGATACTACAAGAGTTGGAGAACTACTGGGCGGGATGCGTGTGCCCAAAGATAAAGGCAGCACCTCCACGATCTCTAGCTAGACCCTGCCAGGGCTTTAATTCGGTGGAAATATTTTATTAAACTGTGTTTTGTTGGTTTATTTGATTGTGGTCTGCTATGTTTATTGGGGGGGCGGGTCCTTGGGAAAACTGATCATTCTAGCACTGACTACACCACCACATATCTGTTTTATCAGTGCTAAGGATTAGACCCAGGGCCGTACGTGTGTTGGACAAATGCTCAACCACCGAATCACATCCCTAAACCAAAAGCCACTGGTTTGTATTTGCTTTGTTTTCCAACACTGGATACATACACATACAGCAACAATACAGAACGTGTGTCGTCCCCATGCATACGATGCTCACAACAGCATTTCCAGCATGTGGGTCAGAGGGATCACACTAGGAGAAGACCCGGGGCTCTCAGCTGTGTATGATATTGTTATAGTACCCGGGGCACAACTGAGGCACGCAACAATGCAGTTATCTTTATATCTGCCATTGTGGACACAACCTGATATGTGGCCATGATTAACTATGTCTTTCTTGTCCTGGAAGCAGCAGCGTGGTGGTAGGGCACCTATCCAGCATACTTGAGGCTTGGCTAGATCCAGACTCTCCACTACAGAAATGCAAATGTTTTTCAATACTAGTCATGCTGGGTGTCCTGCCGCACGTTTCCTGGGAATCCTGGATCCATCCTCTCTTCTCTATTCACATTCTCTGCCCATTGCCCTGGTTGTTCGCTACTTTGTTGTTATTTGTTTGTTTTTTTCTTGATTTGAAATACTGTGTATGTTGACTGGGCCCATTCGTTATGTTTGTTTGTTTATGTTTTGTTTTTTGAGACAGAGCTTCCCTGTGTAGTCTCAGCTTTCCTGGAACTCTGAAGACCCTTGAATTTATAGAGCCCCACATGCCTCTGCCTCCTGAGTGCTGGAATTAAAGGCATGCACCACCCCTGTCTGTCCCCATTCAGTAGTCTTTAGCTTCCTGTCTTACAGAAACCCATCTTCTTTGTTTTAAATTGACTAACTGAATGGATGTTTCCCTAGATGTTTGTTGTTGCTCTTGTGGCTCCAAAATGACCCATTTTCAAGAAACACATCACCTCATGACATGACCTGGTTGTGTTTAGCATTGGCATGGAGTTTGTGGCCTATTTAGGGAATCACAACAATGGCCAGTGTTGGCCAAACATGGTGCCTACCATGGGAACGGACAGTTCAACTCGCACGCCTTGCAAAGCAGGTGTGATCCTTTCCCCTTCATATCAAAGAAAGAGATGCCACAACTTTACATGTCTCCCCGTCTCAGTAAGCCTGATCCCAAAGCCACACTGAGCAAGCTTGCTACCAAAAGCTCTGTCAGCCACCCAGATACACAGCAGGCAAAAGATGTCGTCAACAGAGTCCAGGAAACCTTGGTTCCAGAATCGAGATTCTCTGAAGTCCTTTCAGTCCAGACAAGAGAACTATTTTAAGGAAGCCAGCAAGAAGAACTGCTAATAACAAAAATATTCCCTAATGACCATTAATTCTCAGCTTCCAGAACATAAGAAGTGACTTAAGCGTCCCCAGAGAACAGCATTTCCCATGCTGATTTCATTTCAAGTTGCTGCGGGTTCCAGATTTCTGTTTCCCTTTGAGTGACTTCTTTTCCTGTATACATAAATATCCTGATACAAATAAAATTGCCAAAGAGAAGCTATTGAATGGAAATTAAAGGAAGCAGGGGTTACAAAATCCCAGTCAGGTTTTTCAACTAGAGAGTGAAAGGTTTCACATTCTCAGACCTAACATTGAGTCAGCCTCATGACTGAGACATTACTTTGTTCTTAAGAACTGCTGGCCTAGAGCAAAACACATTGATTATACCAGACAGAGTGCTACATACCCAGAACCCCAGGACTCAGAGGGTAAGTCAGGATCGTCCTGAGTTTGAGGCCAACCTGGGCTACATAGAGAAATCCTGTATCAAAAAAAAAAAAAGCAAAGAGAATGAGATAGTTTATGGTCTTGGAAGGTGTACTAGCTACCTTGTTATTTCTGTGATAAAAATATCATAACCACAAACAACTTACAGGAGAGTTGATTTTGGTTTACAGTTCTAGAGGGAGATCCCATGATGGTGGGGGAGGTACGACAGCAGGTAAGCAAGCAAGCTGGGAGGTCAGATTTCTGAGCTCACCCACACATAGAAAGGAGAGAGGAGAGAGAAGAGAGAGAGAGAGAGAGAGAGAGAGAGAGAGAGAGAGAGAGAGAGAGAGAGAGAGAGAGGAGCTTCGCCCACTCCCGCTCTCTTCCTGCTCTTCTCCTGAAGAGGTCTTTGTCTCTGTCTCTCTTCCCCACTTCCTCACCCTTTCCCCTTCTCTCAATAAACCCCTCACCTAAGCTCTGTCTGCATGGCATGTTTGTCCCTCACCACTGGCTCTCACAAACTGCCGAGGTTTGGACCCACCTGCTGCCAAGGCCCCTTCCATGCAGAAATTATAGCAGGTTTAATAATGAGCTGAATGGCCAATGGCTAGGCAGGAGAGGACAGGTGGATCATCAGCGAGAGAGAGAGAGAGAGAGAGAGAGAGAGAGAGAGAGAGAGGGAGGGAGG